CCTCCTGCCAACGATATATGACCGTGAAATACTATCGGGAGTCTGCACAGGGTGTTTATTTTGAAATTGACATGATTTTTTGACTTTTATTTTGTATTTGCTGTGCGGTTTGGACGCGGCGTCCGTCAAAAATAGACTAGGCGCCTATCTTTAGCGAAGCGGCGCGGAGATCGAGCCGCTTCTGGGACGCTTTTGAAACGTGCCATGGCGCGTCTGGTGTAAACACAAGCATTGACTAGAATGACCGCGATCAGTTCCGGTAGCCGCGTCAGAGCCGTAACGCGCCGCAGACGTGTGCAGTGTAAATAAGGGGTCAATCGGGTTACCTGAAGTTGCGCGCAGCATAGTAAATACGGTGGAGAATTGTAGATCGACAGCATTTTGTTAATTTTTATATTCCTGACCGTCAAACGAAGCTCATTAGTCGATCGTTAACCAGTAAGATTAGAATGTCTTTTTTGTTGTTGTTTTGTACAGGGCTTTAGCTTTATATGCGCGAATAGTAGCATAAACAAGACACCGTGAGGATTCAGTCGTCACATCATGCACCTGCAGCGCTTCTGTGAAAGGAGAAGAACTGAAATTAAGTCTATAAAAGGAATAAAATCAATAGGATCACACAAAATATATAATAGGCTATAATATAATTAAAAGATTAACAAAAGAAAAAAAAAACACTGTGCAACAAGTGTAGGCTACGCTCGTTTTTGTGACACTCTTAATGCATTTAATTTATTTTCTTTATATCTTTATTTTATTTAATCCATCTGATCGCACAGGCGCCTCACGCACACACATAAAAGTAACACTGTTTATTTTAAAAGGTACGCTGACTTTGCATTTGCTAATCCTTATAGGGAAACCCCTTCCTCCAAATACTACTGAAGCCTTATTGAATCACGCCAGTGAAACTGGCCAATGGCGTTCAAGCGCGCGAAATATGAGGGGCTCCCACTCTATATAAAGCAGCACTTGTACGTCATCTATTCAGAATCTTTTTCTTCAGCCAACCTTCTACTAGAAGCAAGAAGTCTATCATCAAGAGTACTCACCGTGATCTACACGCTGCAGCGGACACGCTTTCTCTCCCCTGCTGTTTTCCGGTGAGCTACGGACAAGGATGACCTCTCGCGATTGCCTCTCCTGCCCAGAGCCAATCGAACTCTCCGATGGCCACGAATCGTGCGTCTTTTGCCTGGGTCGCGCCCATGCAGAGGCGGCGCTTGGGGTGTCGGACTGCCCCCACTGCGGAGATATGAGCCTTCGGACTCTCAGACTCCGTGTTGCCATCGTCCAAGGCGATGAACTCGCCCAAATAGCGTGCACAATCCGGGATCCTCCCTCCTGTCATCTGTGGACGGCGCTGACCGAGTGGGGTACGTCAAACTTCCCCCCGTGGAGGAAGCCGTTGCTGCCCACCTATCTCCTGCAGCCGCGGAGAACTGGAGAGCGAGAAACAACGCGTCTCTCCCCTCTAAACCTTGCCGCGCCACTGCAAACTTTGCCGGCAAGGCTTTCTCCGCGGCAGGACAGGCAGCTTCAGCACTGCACGTCATGGCGATACTCCAGGTGTATCAGGCCAAACTTCTCAAGTCTCTGGACGAGGGTGGCCCGGACCCTGAAGTCTTCAAAGAGCTCCGACGCACCACGGATCTGGCCCTCAGAGTGACGAAAGTTACAGCTCGTGCGATCGGCCACCCCAGCGCGTGTTGAACACTATCGCTGAGGCTAGGGCTCTTTCCATGAGGCGTCTTTACGCACATGAATGGAGAGTTTTCACAAATTGGTGCGTATCACGGGGCGAAGACCCAAATTGCTTTGGCTTATAGCTCTAAGGGCGTGGAATGTCCTATAGGGGTTCGTGCCCACTCCACCCGCGGGCTTGCATCCTCATGGGCATGGGCAAATGGCATATCTATTCAGGACATTTGCAGGGCGGCAGGCTGGTCGTCACCCAACACTTTCGCGAGGTTTTATAACCTAGATGTGTCGTCGCTTGCCTCACATGTGCTCTCAGTGCGGGCGGCACACCCACCTTCTCAGCCTCAGTTATGAGCTGAGCTGCATGCCTT